CACAAATTCTATTATAAGGTCTCTAAAATAACATAAACTTGAAAATAGAAGTAGACTTCAAATTAAAAATAAAAGGATATATTTCAAAGCTATTAGATAATCTGCAGTGTAAAGGATATCGCGATGATTCTGAGGGCACCCTATGTATCTCACAAACATTTTCTTCTATATCTTCTATCAGCTCTTTTACCGAGGCCATCTTATCGTTGGTGTGCGCACGCGGCGTGTCTTTCTCTTAGATAAATTCCCTGGCACGTTTGTCGAGAAATCGTCCCTGAGAGTAATTCATCGTCTCTCTCGCAAGTAGGTAGATACGTCCGATTCGACGGAAAAGCTTTAAAATTCGATTGAGCCAACCGCACTTTCCAACAAGCGCATATTCCTCGGAGGAATGATGCACACAGTATGGTCGACGCAGATGGAACGGACAAATGCATTCAACGCATCGAAAAAAAGTAAGAGAAGAGCGGCCGTTAGTAAAAATGGATCGATGATATAATTTTCCATTTCCTCTTCCGTTTTGTGATAGAAAGAAAAAGTAAAGAATCAAAACGAGGTAAATCCGCATGGTTCGCGTTATCCTCAGAGAGAAAGAATCATGCTATGGAAGACGCCAGGTGCGAAATGACGTTACACGACGTCTAAAACATCCATTTTCCAACGTTATAGCGAAACGTCAAGATTTAATGTTGAACTTGTCAACGAAGAGTTACATGTGAAGAATTACATGCGAAAAATTGATACCTCTCGAAATAGGGAAAAACTGCGAAAACGAAACGGAAAGAGACGTTGTAACTTGGTAGTACAATGACATCTGCTGAAAGAAACACTGCCCTCAGAAAAAGGAAATCGGCACGGAAACATAGATGATTTCCTCACAATCAAAGAATCTAATACAGTAAAAGAAACAAGCATCAGCCGAGAAGAAACATCTAGGACGCGTATCACGATGTCACATTATATATATATATTGCAATATATATATATATATATATATATA